TCCATCATGGCAACCCCTCGTTCTGTTCTCTTCACTCTCTCTCCTCTCCCCCTTTCCCCTCTCTTCTCTTCTCTTCTCTTCTCTTCTCTTCTCTTCTCTTCTCTTCTCTTCTCTTCTCTTCTCTTCTCTTCTCTTCTCTTCTCTTCTCTTCTCTTCTCTTCCCCCTCCCTTATTACTACTATGGTTTATCCTTCCTCTGTTCTATTTTCTCTCTCATTCCTCCTCCTTTCATCCTCCTCTTCCATCCTCAACATGAGATTCCCCTTCCTCCCTTCTTCTCCCTCCTCCCTTCCGTTCTGTTCTCTTCACTCTCTCTCCTCTCCCCCTTTCCCCTCTCTTCTCTTCTCTTCTCTTCTCTTCTCTTCTCTTCTCTTCTCTTCTCTTCTCTTCTCTTCTCTTCTCTTCTCTTCTCTTCTCTTCTCTTCTCTTCTCTTCTCTTCTCTTCTCTTCTCTTCTCTTCTCTTCTCTTCTCTTCCCCCTCCCTTATTACTACTATGGTTTATCCTTCCTCTGTTCTATTTTCTCTCTCATTCATCCTTCTTTCATCCTCCTCTTCCCTCATCAACATGAGATTCCCCTTCCTCCCTTCTTCTCCCTCCTCCCTTCCGTTCTGTTCTCTTCACTCTCTCTCCTCTCCCTCTTTCTACAGTCTTGGGATTCTCCTTTCTCCCCCCCATACTATTATTCCTTCTGTCCTCTTCACCTTCTCTTTCTCTCATTCATCTTCCTTTACCCTCATCGCAAGTCATGAGATTCCCCCCCCCCCCTCCCCTATTCCATCATGGCCACCCCTCGTTCTGTTCTCTTCTGTTTTTCTTACTCATGAATTTTTTCCCAGTTCCCTCTCCTCCATTCTCGTACTACCTCCTCCCCTCCCCTTCCACATGTCTTCTTCTCCATCTCTCTCATCCTTCTTCACCCCCCCCCCCCAGCCACTTCCTTTATCCCCTTCCCCTCCTCTTTAACAGGTATGAAATTCCTCCTACCCCTTTCCCCTCCCCCCCCTACATGTTATGTTCTGCTCCCCCCCCTCACCTCCCCTTCCCCCCTCCCCCATCATCCTTCCCTTTAGCAAATACGATATTCCCCCCACCCCCTCTTCAACCAACATTATCCCCCCCTTCCCCCCCATTCTACACCCCCCCTTCCCCAAATTCATATGTTCTGTTCGGTTCTCCTCCGCGCGAATCTGTTCTTCCTCTCACCATATGGCGTTCACCATTGTTCAGAGAGAACGTGTATGAATGGACCCTAATTAACGTGCAAGTTCTTAGCGTGTATGGGTTTCCGTATAACATTAGTGGGTCGTTTATCAAAGTTCGCCGGTGCACAAGAGGCCATAAATTCGATTATTCTGGGTAATTCTGAATTATCGAGTCTCTGTTCATTTGGCAAGATAAATCAGATGTGACTAAACAAAAAGTATAAAATGTGTCTCCCTGATTTTGTAATATCTTTTCTTATTATTTCAGTAATCTTCAGACCCTAGCGTTAGTGTATATCTAATTATCGATAAGTCTATGTATTCAAATTTTGTATAGCCTATCTCTTAATCACATTAAAATAATGATAATGATGATAATGATGATGATGATGATGGTGATTGTGAAAATGAAAATAATAATATTATTATCATAACTTAAATAATAATAACAATTCACATATTTACATATCTAAACATATCTCGGTCGCATACAAATGTCATTCTGTTTGTACACCCACTTAAGTTCATTACTTCTTGGACACACTTACGAAAACCGAGACCTTCCAGTACTTGTAGCATTACCACAATGCGAGCTAATTAACGAGCCCTCGCGGCCCCTCGTAGCCATTATGGGTGAAATACGAAATGCGAGTTATAACGTGGCCTATGTCAAGGTTTTAGTGTAAAGGTATCTTGGTCTGCGTCACGAACTTAATTAAGTTGGATGGATAGATGAATGGGGTAATGGATGGACGGATGAATGGGGTAATGGATGGACGGATGGAAGAATAAAGGAATGAGCAGATAGATGAGGGGAAGGAAAAAAAACAAGGATGAGATAATAAAATCCACAATAAACTCAACCAGCAACGGCCATTCTTTCTCTATCTCTCTTTCTCTTTATCTTTCTCTCTCTCTTTGTTTCTCTGCTTCTCTATATGTCCCTTTCTCTCTCTCTCTCCCTCTTTCTCAACAAAGAACAATATGAAAAAGAAAGAAAAAAGAAGAAGAAAAAAACAGTAACATACCCACGCCCACCCGCACACACACACGCACACACACACACACGGAAGCAAGAGATCCACACGTGAGAAGAAACACAAGAAATGAAAAGCAAAAGCAAGCACATTCATTTGCATTCTCTCCCATGACCTGAGGTAGCGGGCGGGCGGGCGGGCGGGTAGCCGGGCGAGGGAGGTCATCCGGTCGCGGCGCCAAAGGTGATCGGAGGCAGCATCCAGCGGCGAGAGGAAGCCGGAGATGAGACGGAGATGCTCGTTAGTGTCGCGAGTGGTG